CCGATTTTGCCATCAATTTATGATTTATTGGCTAATCTTCATGAGTTTGTTATCTAATTGAGTGAACTTTCTAGAGTTTTAAGGTTAGTACAGGATAATCTTCAATTCTAGAGTTTTATTGAATCCATAYTTCTTGGAGCTAGCCAAAATTTTCATGTCATAAGGATTTCTATTGAACCTTTTGGTTGATCTCATATTGAATGTATTTTTTGTAGGGTATGAGGATTAGCGGAAGCTGTTCTTCAATTCATAGAAAAAATCCACCCAATTTGAGATCCACCTATAGGTTACATTAGGAATCTTTATCCCATGACATGAACTTCATTTCGGTTAAATCTTTTCGTTTGAGGTAAAAAGATAATGTTATGAGCTGTCTCTTTTGCAAGTTGTTGGGATATTGATGGTGGCTGTTGGAATTTTTGTCCATCCCTCAAAACATTTTTTCTCCAAAATATATATTTCACTCTCTTAAATTTACCATTCCAGCCTCTTTTCGCCCTTCGAAATTTTGTCCATTTCTTTTAACTCTTCTCTCGAAGAATTTTTATCTATCCTTCAAAACATTTTTCTCCAAAATTTTTATTTCACCCTCTTAAATTTACCATTCCATCCTCTTTTTCTCCCTTCGAAATTTAGTCCATTTCTTGGATTGTTCTCTTGAAGAATTTTTCCTTTTACTCAATTTTTTCTTTTAATGATTTTGAAAAGTAATTTTCGAAAATAGAACTTGTTTTCTAAATTTATTGTTCTTTCAAGTATTTTTCTTTCTTAGATTTGAAAGTGATTTTCAAAATGAATTTTGGAGCAGTAGATGTGAGGTGAGTTTAGGAAAATTAATTGACTGGAAATTTTCCTATTTCACCCTATTGCCTGCACTAATTATTTTGAAAGTTTAAATTTTTTCTTTATTTGTCAATCTCCTAATATCTTTTCTTTTGAATTTGTTTCCTCAATCTTTTTTCCAATTCCTTTCCACTTTTTTTATGAATATACTTACAGTTTAAAAAATATTTTAAGAACTTCTATGATTTTTTTACAAAAGTTTTGTTTTTTAATTCTCTCCATCCATTTATAATTTATTGCCTAATCTTGAGTGGTTTGTCATCTAAATGAGTGAACTTTCTAGAGTTTGAAGGTTGGTAGGAGATAATCTTCAATTCTCTTTGTGGAATCCGTACTTTTTGGAGAGAGTCAAATTTTCTGTCTTAAAAATTTATAACGTAACCTCTAGGTTGATCTCGTATTGAATGAATTTTTTTGTAGGATATGCAGATTAGCGGAAGATGATCTTTAATTCATAGAAAAAATCCACCCAATTTGAGATTCAACTATAGATTATATTAGGAATCTTTAACCCATGAAAAATTAGTCTTTAACCAAATAGGATGAATTTCCTAGAGAGCGGATCTTTTATAGGGTTTAAAAATTTGTGGGTTATAGTCTTCAATCACTTATGAAGTTCGTGTCATTGGGTTGGACCCGATTTTGCCATCGATTTATGATTTATTGGCTAATCTTCATGAGTTTGTTATCTAATTGAGTGAACTTTCTAGAGTTTTAAGGTTAGTGCAGGATAATCTTCAATTCTCTTTATCGAATCCATACTTCTTGGAGCGAGCCAAAATTTACCTGTCTTAAAGATTTCTAGCGTAACATTTAGGTTGATCTCATATTGAATGTATTTTTTGTAGGGTATGAAGATTAGCGGATCTTCAATTCATAGAAAAAATACATCCAATTTGAGATCCAACTATAGGTTGAATCTTTAACCCATTGAAAATTTATCTTTAACCGAATAGTATGAATTTCCTAGAGAGTGGATCCTTTATAGGGTTTAAAGATCCGCTGGTATAGTTTTCATTTCCTAATGAAGTCCATGTCATTGGGTTGGACCCTGTTTGGCCATATGTTTAAAATTTATTGCCTAATCATCAAGGGGTTTTAGTTTCCATGTTCGTCATCTCCCTTACATTCGTATGAGCAAATGCACTTTTTTCTTATCCTAAAATTCTGTTCTCTCTTATGTTTCAACTTTCAAATTGTCCATTTCAATATTCTTCAATTAGTTATGTTTCCATTTCAATATTCTTCAATGTCTCAATATTAATATGACCAGATGCACTATTTTTCTTCGTTCCAAATTTTTTTACCAATTGAAGTTTGGTTACAGTCTTATTTGTATTAGATAAATACAAGGGATATTTATATATTTATTTTCTGCTTCGAAGCTACTGAGTCAGTCAAGGTAGCATGTTATTCATTTCGGTTAAATCTTTTCGTCTTGAGATAAAAAGATAATGTTATGATCTTACTCTTTTGCAGTTTGTTGGGATGTCGACGGTGCCCAAAACATTCCAGCCTCAAAACATCCCTCAAAACATTTTTTCTCTAAAATATTTATTTCACTCTCTTCAATTTACCATCCAGCCTCTTTTCTTCCTTCAAAATTTTGTCCATTTCTTAATTCTTCTCTTGAAATTTTTTTTGTCTTATTCAAAATATTTTTGTATGATTTTGAAAAGTAATTTTCGAATATAAAACTTGTTTTCTAAATTTATTGTACTTTCAAGTATTTTTCTCCCTAACATTTGAACACTATTTTCAAAATGATTTTCTGAGTTGTAGATGTGAGGTGAGTTTAGGAAAATTAATTGACCGGAAATTTTCCTATTTCACCTTATTGCCTGCACTAACTTTTTTTAAAGTTGAAAATTTTTCTTTATTTGTCAATCTCCTAACATCTTTTCCTTTTGAATTTGTCTCCTCAAACTTTTTTCCAATTAATTCCTTTCCACTTTTTTATGAATATACTTGCATTTTAAAAAATATTTTAAGAACTTGTATGATTTTTCTACAAAAGTTTTGTTTTTTAATCCTCTCTTCTTTTTAACTTTTTTTTTTGTCTCAACATTTCTTCTATCTATTAACATTTTTACCTCTTTTTCCCCCTAATTTTTTGCACTCTTCCATTTTTTTCCCAAAACTTGGAACATACCTCTCAATACTCGAGCCTATAAAAAAGTTGACGTTACTAATTCATTCTAAAATGTTGATAAATAAATTAACTCGAAACTAACAACTTAATTAAATTATTTAGGACTTCTCAAAAAAAGAAAAAAATTAATTGATTAGGTAACTCATAACAAACTAATATAATGGTTATTTTTTCCCACATCACTGGCTATCTCTTCGTCTCATATCTTCTTTTATTCATCTTTTCTTTGTTTTGTTACTTTGCTTTGATGTCGTGCATTACTTTTAGCCTTTACATTTTACATTATATCATAGAATCGACCCATTAGGTGAGGGTGTGAAATGACGTGGTTCTTTTGGTCGGGAGGTTTTTTCTCCAGTTCTCCTAGCCTTGCCGCACAGGTGAATATTGGAGGAAGGGAAAATGAGAAGTTATAATATTATTAGACTATCCTTACATGGCAATCAACCTGCAGGATGGATTCCACATACGGTTTACCCAAAAATGTTGCTGTCATATAACTTAGGTAACTACAATTTTTTGCTTGGTTTAGTCTCTTGCTTCTTTGCTGCATCGCTAACTTGTAGGACTGCTGAACTTCAAACACCCATCTCCATAAACGTTTCTTCAGTTTCTTGGAATTCAACTTGTTGCTTTCTTTCTTTTTCCATCTAAATTTTTTTTGATCATTGCTCTAATTTTGAACAGGAAATTCACGATGGAATCATTGTGCTTCCATTGGCTCATTTGTATTAGGTGCTAATCTATCATGCACAGGAAGTACTTTTACCTTTGTGGTTAAATACTGGCTGTATTTTTGCTTGAGTGACTTTATTATAAGCTTGATTGGCTATAATTTTTCCTGTTCCCTTCAACTTTATTATAATCGTTGTTTCCCTTTGTAGGTTACAAAATGAATTAGAAAGTTATTTGGCTCTACGGAAAAAGGACAAGGTATGATACTCTTCTAAACACTGGAGTTAGGTAAATTGCTAGCTGGATCATAGATTAGTATCATTGTTGTGAAGTCTTGATTTATGTTTTATTTGTTTTCTACCTAAAAACACTAGAACTGATATCAGAGTCTTTTACTTGTGTCTTTAAGTTTTTCAAATTTCATCAGAGTATATCTTTAAGTTTTTTAAATTCCATCAGAGTGTAATTTTTGTGCAAAAATGCATTTTAGAATTCAGCACACTTCATACGTGTGATCAACTTTACCAAATTGTAACTCGCATCAAAGTTACTGTGCTCTCTATATTTTGCCCAAGTGGTTCCTTGAGGGGGGTTTTTTTTTTTTTGAGTTCAACTGTGTACGGGAGTTAGAAATTCAAAATTTTGACCTCTTCATTGCATTTTGAATCGTATGTGTTGGATATTCTATGGAATTCCCTTTGTTCATCCCGATAGCACTTTGATCGTCACCATTAATGTCGTTGGCCTCGTTCTCGAGCTTGTTTATTTGGCCGTATTCTGCTTTTATGCCAGTCCCAAAGGATGGGTGAGTTCAAACTTCCATCACTACTAACTCTTAATGAAATAGACTATGGAAGTTCTCATCGGTGGATCAGTGTGTAAACTGAGTATTGTTTCTTTTGGATTTAATTTTATGACATTATTTTCAAGAAAAATACTCTCTGATTTTGATTGAAAGGTGTTGAGTTAAGTATTATTCCATTTTATTTGTTAGATGTAATTGGTAAGTATTGTTTCTCGACGAATGTATTGGAATTAATTTTGTGCTACAATGTTTCAAAATTGTATTAAAAAATATCTACTAGATTATTATTATTATTATTATTATTATTTGGTAATAATACACCTTAGCGTTGGGAAAGAAAATTTTTCTAGTATTATAGGGTAGAGTACAAATACTTTTTCCATTTATAAAACGATATAGGGCTAATCAATATTAAAAAGTCATTTATAGAGATAAAATTATAGTGTGAATAAAGAAAGTAGGTAGCTACGACTAAAAATTTTTCATTGAAGTAGTACCTCACACCCTTCTCGTAGGTTTTTTTTTTTTTTCTTTCTACTATCTAAATTTAAAGAGGTGAGAGAGAAAAAAGAGTGGATGAGTTTTAATTATTTTGGGTGAAGATTTTATATTTAGGGTTAAACATGTAACTTATAAGAAGGATCCTATAAATCTTTATCCTTGCGAAAAATTATATCTAGACTTCTTAATTTTAAAACAAAATCTATAGTTACTACTTTAACTTTATAACTCTTAATCCTATTGTTTTTGTATCATTTATGGTTATTTGGAGGTTCTATTATGAAGTTCACGTTCATTTTATTATGTATAGGACCGAACTAAGACAATTTGAAACTTCTACAGATAATGGAACGTTATAAAATTATGAGGCCTGAAAAGGAACCAAGGCGATCACACTATACCTTAAACCAACTTGAACATTTTATTTATTTACTTCCTAAAAAACAACTCGTTTCCATCACCAATTACCAAGAAGCTTAAATAACAAGAATGAAAAATGCAACTAAATTTCATATATATAAAATTTAAGCGTTCTCTCTCCCTCATTATATCTGGCACAAATACATGCCACAACTAGCCAGATACAATTTTACCTACTACCAACACTAGCACAACAGCTTTGCCATAGGACATAATAAAACATGGCTCTTCTCCATTCACAAAGAAACAAGAAGAATAGGGAGGATATTGAGGTAATTTAACCCATATATATGTATTTAACTTACACTAAGCTACATATAAATTCAAACAAAAGTCAAGACTTCAAACTCAGGATCCTAGGAACTTATCTACCCTTGCATTGGTTGTCCTTGACAGAAATTTCATGCAAATTGGCGCCTTGACTCCAGCCAAAGCCAGAATTGAATTAGGCAGTGTCCAAATTCCATCCCCACAAATCAAACCGGACGCCACAGCAGGACCGAAGGCATCGGCTTTGGTTTTGTTTATCTTCTGCCACACAAACAGTATCAGACTTCCTAAGCTCATATCGATTGCAAAGTATGGTCCTACATAGAATGGTATTGCCATTGCCATAGGCAGGGGAATGAACCTTGCCCACTTCTTTGGCATCAAGTCTTTAATCAAGTTGATCAAAATGGAAGCGGCAAAGAACACATAGCAAAGGGTAAGGCAATTCTTTGGTAGGCTTGAGAAGCCTTCGACGCCCAACACGGCCATGTTGCGGAAAATAACTGCATTTGGGGCGGGGTATACACCCGTCGGTAGACCGAGATTATCAAATGCCTTGTAAAAGAGCCAAAAGACACAAGGTGAAATAACGCAGCCCATTGCTGTGCCTATTACTTGGCTGACGAACATGGAGCGAGGTGAAGCCAATGTTAGATAGCCAGTTTTGAAATCCTGCATCAGGTCAGAGGCTGTGGAGACGATATTCATCATGACCCCACAAGCTGCTAGACCAGCAATAACTCCTCCATGCGAGGCACCAGCCCATGCACCAATTGTGAAAATCGCAAGCTTCCCATAAGTTGATGCCAGAGACCAATCCGTGAGCCCGCATCCGTATGCATTACAGAAGGCCAGGACAGGAGCAAAGATGTAGATGACCAAAATATAATACCACTTGAGCTGTGTAAAAATGTGTGGAAGAGTGTTAATCGACACCGCAGCAATTACAACATAGCCTCCAATGGCAAACCACATCGGTATTTGATCCTTGAGAAAAAGTTCTTTCCTTCGTTCATCATCGTAAGATGACTCAGACCTCGATGAACTTTCCATGGAAGTTTCTCCCGCCTCTCTTTTGTGTTGAAGTTGGTAGAGCAAGCCCGAGAGGGTCCGGGTTAATACTTTGAAGAAGTTGTACAGGCCATCTCCAAGAATTATGGCTATGGCTATAAATACCTGAGGTCAGGGTAAAAATGAGTTCCTTCAAGAGGAAATTTTTCATTTTTTTGAAGAAAAATAGTATTGCGGTTTAAGAAGGCAAATCACCTTGTATCCTTGAAGACCACTTAGGTCACTTGGGCTTAATTTCTCGCTATACCATTGACCCCTTTTATCTTCTATGAGAGGCCACATTATGCCCCAAGAGAAAATACCTCCAACAAGCACCGATATGTTTATTATATGGGGGCAAATCATCCCTACTCCTATATATGTTGCTGAGAAGTCAAAGTAAAACCTGCAGAATTAACCAGAATAACACAATGACTGACATATGACAATGTCTTGAAATTGCAACAATATGCTTGAGAACCTAAAATATTCACCTATCGAGATAGAAGAAATATATAAAAATATACAAGATGTAAGAATCAAGTTCACTGAAGCATCACGACACTAATTTTAGTGGAAAAAAATAGAAGAGTTAGCCAAAAATCATACTGGAGAAATTAGAGATATGTAATACTTGTTTGCATATGCTTTGAGTCCAAATGTTGGAAAATGTGCAAATCCGCAACCATCTGCAGCTGTAAAGAACCATTGGAAAAAGCCCCACAAGAAGCTCACAGAGAAAAATCTGCCAAGCAGTCTCACCTGTTTCCTATAATTTCAGGCATAAATATAGTAGATATTAGAACATCTTTCATTTGAATATCATAATAATTTATCATATATGAAAGCACATTACTTTGCAAGTGCAGCTCCTCGAGGAGTATGGAAACTATTAATCAAATGAGCTGTTGCAGTACCACTTGGATAAGTTAATTTGAAGTCAATGACCATGATCTGCAATTAATCCCAAGCAAGAGTGACCAAGATAATAATGAATAATTTCAAGTCAACATATACTGTAGCTGCAACATCACCTTAGGTCCTTAGCAAATGGAATGGAACATATATGTCTTCTTTTTTTCCCTATCTTTTTTATAATAAACAATCACTAAAAAATAATTACAAAAGAAGAAAGAACATGGTATCCAAATCTACTAAACCTATAGAACATCTGGAGGAAGAAAAAGAACTCTCGAATCTTATCATGGATGAATAGTTACAAGATTCATTAACACTAAGTAACATCTAGAATCTGAGAACAAAACAATCTTTTCCACATAAAGAACACTCGTAGAAGATCTTGACAAAAAGATATTTATGCATCTTGTGTGATTTCATTTTCTCTTAAAGTTCCTTCACCATGCATTACGTTGTAGTTGTTTGTATACCAGGTTCTTCACATTTTCTTTTTTATTTTATGAGAAACCGAACTTTTCATTGAGACAAATGAAAACAGAAATACATATACAAGGACATACAAAAACAAAAGCCCAGAAGGAGGAGCCGGGTGAGAAAGGGCTTCCATCCAAAAGAACAAAACCTAAAATGTAAGAAACTAAAAATATTTGATGCAACTTGCAACATGGCAAGCAGCATAGTAGCATACCTTTCGTAAGGGTACAACAGAGAATAGGCCAAGAAAGCTAACAACAAATAGAAAACCAATCATCCATCCTAATGATGGATCTTTGAAATCTTTACTGCCTGATGATTTATGAGCAATCCGTTCGCTCATTCCAAATAAGTAACTTCCAAAACCTCCTGTCAATAGAAATAATCAAAACAGGTATACGATTTAGTCTCACATAGAGGCTAAAGCAGGAATTAGAAAAGTTTTAACTGTGGAATGATATTCTACTGGGATTCTCCCACAGAAAAAGTGAAAAAGTTGGTTTCAAATACAAGTCTACTTCTAGAAAGCTTGTTGTACAAAAAACCTAGAAAACTAGTTTTCTATTTGATTTCTCAGATCAAAGTAGCTGAGCATCTTAGTAAACTTTTTCTTCAATTGAAGAATGGATATTAGAGTGTTCCTTTCATGGAAGATCGAGGAAAAACTGCAGTATAAGTAGCTGAGAATCTGAGTTACCAAGGTTTGGTCAAATGACCATCTTCGTGCATAATTTCTACAGTATGTATAATATAAAACGGTGTTCTGCCAATAATTTTTTCATGATATATAAACTGATCTTTGTTAGAACAGTTTCCTGATTGTTTGTGTGTATATAACTACTTCCATTAGAAGAAACAAATAACAAAAGCATGGCCACACAAAAATAAAGTTAATTACAAGTAAGCACCCCAATTTTTCTTTTTTTTTCTCTGATATCCGTGAGTGTCCGGGCCAGCTTCCTCGACTAATTTCACGTGACACCTACCTGACCCTACAACATTAGGTGCTGAGAAACGCATAGGAATTGTTAATTTCTAAGATAAGTGACTATCATGGGATTTGAACAGACACACTAAAATAGAAGTAGCATTGAACTGCATCAAGCCGATATTCCTCCACCATGAAAGATCTTTCCTCTCTTCTCAGGCCAAGTATTCCATAAAAGACATTAGAAGCCAGCCTACCGCCTTCCTGTACAGTTTACCCCCCTCTTGAGAAAAAAATCAGAGCAATCACAACTCCCTCTAAAAAATTGAGCAATCACGATGACATCACAGTACTGACACAAAAATATGATAAAATCTTCATTAAGTCTCACCAAGAACGCACAGCGCCAAAAAAGGGACGAAAATGAAAGCTTGAAATCGAACTCCGGATTCCCGTTCAGATTATATGTAAACAATAATCTAAAATCGGTAAAAGAAAGTGGTTAAGATACAAACCGCTGAAAGCGATGCCAGACGAGGCAACGACACAGGTTTGGATGACGGTGTTCTCCTGCCTGGTAAAAGGCTGCCTCAAGAGCCCTGATCTCTCCAAAATTTTCGTCCACGATTTCACAAAGAAGAAACCCAGTAGACCAGCAGAAACATTGAGTGAAGGAATAATCCCAGTGGTCAGATTGAGCTTCATTACAATGAAGCTGAACAAAATGCTCAGCCCAAAGCTGACGAAAAAAGCCCTAAACGTTAGCTGCTTAGTCCATGAAGGCACTTCTCGGTCCTCAAAGAACTGCTCGATCGATAGTGCTCCACCTCCACCTCCAAATCTCTGCCTGTTCTTCTGATTCGGATCGTGTTCAGAATCCAAACCCTTCACTACACGATCCTCCACTCCTTTCTCCTCCATAGCGTCTTCTTATGTGACTGCGCGGTTAGAATCAGAATTGGGAAGTGGAACTTCTGATGAGTTGATCCCAATAAGTGGAATACATTGAAACCGCATAGATATTGAAGATGCTGCAATCATTTGATGCGTGGATGGAAAATTGTACGAGCAGAGACAAAAAACAGCCCAAATTACTCTCCAGTTGACTTCCAAGTCTGCGTCTGGGAGAGAAACCATGATCACGACAACGATAGGATTCGCCAGCTTCCCCCGTGGAAATTTCTTCACTTCCCTCATTTTTCTCACGCTCGGATTACTTCTTCGGTACGTCTGTAACTTCCCCGTGGAACAAAATTGCATACCGCATTTTATTTTCTTTTTAATTATAGATCATTAATTTAAATTTAGTATGAAGTTATTTACTCCGCAACCAAATATATATATATATATATATGTATATATATTTATCTTTGTCTTCTTTTCTTTTCTTTATTTTTTTTTTTTTGTGAAAAATTCATTTTTCATACAAAAATTTTTAATGTCAAAATGCCTTTTTCTTTTGGAAAAATATTTTATCTATTAAACTATACATTTACATTTTACACCCGAGGGTTAGAATTCAAATTTCATCTTAAACTATATTTAGTATACTGGACAGTATTTTATAAAATTGAAAAGAAAAAAAGTATACTAGACAGTAGACACGTGTATGTCAGTAATTGGCACGTGTATTGTTTTCTTATATTTGAATATTATTTACTGGAAAATGGGAAGGAAACGTGGGTCCCACTTTGCATAGAAGAAAGTGCCATCCAATGTCCTTTGCTAAATAATAAAAAAGAAAAAAATATTCGGAAAAAAAGAGAGAGAATCAGAGATGCGAACTCAGTGCCCACGATCGAGGAGACATCAGATCAATTGGACTGTTTTTTTATATAAAAATAAAATCGACGGCAGACCGATTTATTAATTCTTTTAAAAATCTAGAGAATTGACTACTGAACAACCAGAAATAAAATTAAGTAGACCAAAATTGAACGAAATAACAAAATCCGTATAGACTAATTGACATTCAATTTAAAAACAAAATATTACTCATTTAATATTAAATAATTTTCTCAAAAAAAGAAAATAAATAATCAAAATCAAAGTCCAGCATAGCATTTCGATTTCTATATCTTGTCAATTATTAGTCTTGTAGGGACCGTTTGTATCAAATTTGAATAGCAAAAAACGAGTGAATGAGATCTCATGCCCAATTTTGGTCTTGTTTGAGATTTTTCCACTGATAATCTTGAAAAATACTAATACAGCATTTACAATTCAATTATATTAATTATTTAACATTTTAGTCAAAATTTAAAATTAAGCGAAGTAATTTTGTGAATCAATTTTAATACGGATAAGCTCATTAATAAATAAAAATCAAGTAAAATCTACCAATTAACTAATTTTAGCATCGACAATCTGAATTTAGTTCAACTAGTTAAGATATCATCTCCAACCGAAAGGTCGTAACGAAAAATCATTAGCATGAATCATTTAGTATAAAATAAATAAATTGATTAAAATACAAGTATACTTTTAATAAAAATCACAGTCAATTGCTTCATCATGAACATTACTAAACTTCAAATAGACTTATTAGTTTACTTTTCTGTCCTACACTCCAAAAAAGTTTTACTATTGTTCGCTACCAAATTTATTTGGTTGAAACTTATATTGTGACGAGCACTTGAACAAACAAATTTTAACATTGAATAAGTAGAATAAAATTCTTATAATCTCCATAGACCCAGGAGATTTTTCATTTTTATGTGAGAAGAATCTTGGGTATAAACCAATATATAAGATGGAAGAAGCTGAACTGCCTGAAGAGTTAGGGTACCACACAAGAAGGAACAAAACATTGTGTAAAGATAAACTAAGATCAGCTGCTCTTACATCCTACTTGAGGTAAGGTCCTATTCTAAACTAAATTCTCAAGAATATTGATATCAGGAAAGAAACTCCTTGATAAGTTCTAAGCATGGAACTTCTGGTTATGTACCTAGCGTCGCCGTGAGAGGAAGAACTCATAATCTGGATGCGTGTTTTCGGAGTTCAGATTTCCTTTCTTAACAATGGCTCTGGCCATGAGAGATGCAGTCTCTTCCAGCGTCCTCAAGCGTTCTTCAAGGATTCCAGGAGGATCTACATTAAACGCAAACCCAGACGTACCATTTCTTGGCTCGAACCAACATTCATTCTGCTCATGTAACAAAGAGTACAGTTATCAACGATGCATAATCAATCTTCATGCAATGCAGCAATCTAGCAACTCTGTTAATAATATACAGAAGCAGCAGCAGAAGCAATTTATCGACTTAGAACATTAGATGAGTTATCGGAGAAAAGTATATAGTAGCCTGTCCAAAGGAGCAACATGCTTAGGGGCGACCATTCATAACTTGGAGTAACAATTACGCTGAATCTAAGGAGGTCTTTTTCATCCCTCTTTGAAGATGTGGAGGAGAAAGAATCAATGGTTTGATTAGACATCATGTACTGATTTATATACCCTTCAACCAGAATTAACGGAACTACCGCAGTTGCAGCTCCATTTCCTGTTGTACTGTCTGGAAACCGGAGAGCGGTTGCTCAAAATATGAAGATCACAAGGAATAGGTAGCTGCTAATCAGGCTCGATAAAGTTGAATGGTGAAAACCATGCATTGCCCATCATTTTTCATATGAGAATTCTTTTCTTACCATATTTCTTATAGAGAGAGTGGTAAATACAATCTTCAGAATCCTTTTTTTCTTTGTTCACTTTAGCAATTTCTTAACCATACACAAAACTACTTCAAAATGTTAAAGCACGTTATAATTGGAAGTTGTAATTAGCAAAATTTTACCTGTGCATTATAACTTTGAAGACCCACAACTGGACATACTAGACAAGAATCTGTATCTGAGGAGTTTAGTTGAGAAGTTCTACAAACAAAATGTCCTAGTGAATGGTAAGTCAGAAACGCAGCTCGAAGGTTGCCATCTGGTATCCTATAAATGGGATACCATGCCACTGAGTACCTGAAATGCCAAAAGCAATTAAATCACTCTTTTGTCCTCACAGGTGCCGTGTCAGTGACATTCATATTATTCTGTATGACGGAAAGATACGTTAAGATTTAAGAATATGGTCACACATGATCTAGTAGAATATGGAACTCATTCAAATGATTGCAAATGTCTGTTGCAACTAACCACGATCTAGCATGCAGATCATTCAAAGTTATGGAGTTGAGCATGGTCGGATCCCCATATATTTTTCCTTGCAGACGTCCATCTCCCCCGACCAGCTGCTGTATCCTGATTCAAATAATAGGACTGAAATCAATCTCAAACAGTTCTAATCTAGCAACCAAAAGCGATGTGCAAACAACTTTCTAAGATAACCAACATATCCAGCACTCTGTTGAGCCTCATATTAAGTAACTGGAATGCAGAATTTGAAATGCAGCCATTTATTTAAAACCAGCATACTATGAATCAGCTATTGCTTATGGATAAAGAGGTAAAAGGCAAATCACAAGGTAATGAATAAATATATAAATAGATGCCACTGCCATATCGAATATGGAAGAAGTTTTCCTTCAAAAATTTCACAAGGGACTGGCTGATTGTTAAATTGTGAAGATTTTGTGCTTTAATGTGTGTGGCGCCAAGAAGAAAGGGGATGCTTTCAAAGATTTTATCAAGTGTACCAATCCAGACATTTTTTCCTTGAGTCAAATTATGGAGGGTTGATAGGAGGATTGTCTATTAACTTTGGAGTTTTAGTGCTATTTAGGATTTCCTTGAGGCTATTGGCTCAATGAACATAAAGCAACAAGAGATGGAATGTAACACTAGTCATTGGCCTACAACTTCTCCAGGTATGCCTCTTGGAGGACGTCTAATCAAGGTTGGCTTTTGGAATCCAGTAATAAATGGAAGATACAGCCTTTTTCCTCTTTGAAGAATAGGTCACCTTGTTCTTTCTGGAATAGCACAACTACTTTGTGGTCATACGGTTGGAGGGAAAGCAAAGATTTTATTGTCTTGTGCAATAAATGCTACTCTTTGGAAGATCTTGTTGGAAAGAAATCAGAGGATCTCTACGAGGGTTGGGGAGACACCTGGGATGATGCTAATTTGTTGGGATATACTTGATATCATCTCCCATTTTGTAGTCTCCTACGATAAGTTTGTTTCTTATAAAATATATATATATATATATATGACAATAATGACAAATTGAACTTCAATAAGAAAAGGCTCGAGTTCAAAAATATATTACCAACAAAATCACACTAGTAATTTCCAGAAAAAGCGTAGGAGAAATTACTTATCAAATAATGGCCTTCTCTGCTGAGGTGGTTCCACTTCAAAATATTCAAAAACAAGTTCTGATTCTCCAGATAATTTTAAGTCAACTGATTGTTCAGAAATTTTCGTCTTCTCAGAAGCCAAAGGTTGCTCTGAACTATGAAACTGGCTACTAACCAGCGGAATGCTTGCATCATCTGTATGAGGCTTGGGAAAAAGAACTGAAAATATTGGAAGATGACAAGTGGAGGGCTCCTTAATTTTTATATTCCTTACACATGAATCTAATCCCGCAGGATTGGCAGTTGTCCCAGCATGAGTTTTATGGCTCTTAAATAGCTGAACAGCTGAAAGAAACGGAACAAAATACGCTAGGAATGCAGAATTATCATAACTAAATCTATTTGCATTTTCATTACCCTTGGCCTTTATTTCCAAACCATAGCTACCATGCTTTTCATACCATTGCCACAGGCAACCTAAAGAAATGTTGGGAATCTCATGGCTACACAGAATTGCATCACCTAGCAGATTTCTTGGGCAAATTTTACAACTTTTTAACTTGGGTCTCTGGCTGATAACTGGAGAGGACAGATGAAGGAATGTTTCGAACTCCGCAATTGGACAACCAGTTTCCATTTGAACAGCCTCAGATGCCAATTGCACCCTACATGCATTATTCACTGCCTGTTCCATTTTAGATGCATCTTCACATGAGGATTTGCAATTAAAATGTTCATCCATATCGAGCTCACAACTATGGTCCTGTAGTGTGGTTATATCATGATCACACATCTTCTGCACCTCACATTCATCTTCTAGAGGACCATGATTCCCATCTCTAGAACTCTTACTCACTTCAGTTACAACAGAAACAGGATCTTGTAAGTCACAAACGACTCTTTCTTGAATTGATTCTTCTGAAGTCCCTAACTCAGCAGGTAGCTTATTTACATATTTAAGAGATGAAGAATCAGGTCCGGCCAAGGTGGTTAATCTGGAACCCTCTGCCCCACTTGGAACCCAGTTTTGAAGAGGTGATCTGGAATGGTTGTTGTGCTTGCTGTGTTCAGCAAGAGAACTTCCTTGTGTTACTTGATCAATTCTCTGAAAGAAAAGATGAGGAAGGTAAATAGGAGAATGAACCTCTAACAGATTTGACTGATCTAAGGAGTTGCATGACCTTGATGATGAGCTGTACTCATTCTCTACTCTTTGACTATTCAAACCATCGGAGACAAGTTCATCTGACATCAATCCATCTAGACAAGCCTGTGTGCTTTCAAATGATTCAGAAGTCAAGCATTTACCAGTATTATCATTCTGAAGCTGAGATTTTGAAGCACTATTTAATCTTCTTATATCAAAGCCCATAGATGGAATATCCAACCTTTCATTTGGTTGTTTGTCAACCATTGAACTGGTATTATTACCAATACCGCTCTTACAAGGACGATAGATCTTATCTTGTACTGAAGTATTTTTTCTTCTTAACTTCCTGGAACTTTTGTCTTTCAGCTGTTTTCTGTTCCCAGTTTTTCTATCCTTAACCTTTGGAATTTGCACGCCAACAGGTTTACAATTGCCTTTAAACTGTTTGCAGATAGGACTTACCTGGTCCAACTGTGCACAACATCCACCGCTATTATTCTTTTGAACCTTTTGCCAGACAGTATGATTGTTTTCCTTCCCTGTACGCCTTTGTGAATTTCCCACAATTCCAAATCTATTGATCTTAGAACTCCCAGTCAATTTTTTATTTTGTTTAGTTTTCTTTCCAGGTAAAACCAAACGAGTTTCACTATTAGTACATCCCTGAATACCATGCTTAGCTCTCTCCACTTCAGCATTTACATCTACTTCATCTCTTACCGAGATATGACGAGAACAATAATTCTCTCTAGAGGGGGAATTTTTTTCTTCCAGTAGACCAACTCCAAAACTTTCCTTTTCATTTAATTTCAAGTTGAGACCATCATAGTCACTGTTTGAACTAACACATTGAGACTCTGAGGAATTATTGTCAGAAAAGCCCTTAGAGCGAAAATCACCGCAACAGCCAACAAACAACCTCTCTCTTGGATCAACTCCCCCATCGAAATGAGAGCAACCAGTTACTTTGACTAGAGGCTGATTTTCAGATCCACACACATTATAATTCCCACTAAGATTCTGTGTTGCAGAAGGTAGAACCTGAGATGCATCCCCCTCAACAGTTTCAGAGGATATTGAATGTACGGTTCCAAGTGGCTGAATAATCCTCTCAGAATTTCCATCAAAATAATTTTTACTGGCCCTAATATCTGGCAGGAAAGTTTCTTGTGCAGTTGAACAAGAAACAGAACCATCTCCAGGATTCAAATCATTATTGCCGCAAGCTTCTAACAATAAACTTCCACGGGCAGAATCCTCAGATGAGACTTCTGTTTCAGCACAGACAAAATCACAAGATATCTTCTTACATTCGATTCCTTTCTTTTTTGCCTTCTTTCTGGGATTTTTCTTCCCATATCTATGCATTTTAGCTCCACCAATGGGGATGTCAGAGATTGCACTAGAGTCACTTGAAATCAGAGCAGAGCTGGAGCATGAACTCCTGCAAGAGAACTTGCCAGAGAGTTCATTCAACGACTTGATTGCTTTACTATCCAATAACTTTTTATTCGACTCCAGCAAGCTTCTACATCTGAATGAATTGATTGAATATGTACCATTAGAGGCAGGGCCTTTTTGCACCAATTTTCTCTCAGCTGCAAACTGATTCATTTGAGGCAGACAGCTCGCATGCAAGCAATCTAGGTATTGCAGTGGTGGTGCAACAATTTTCCAGGGTCCATCAGATTCAAGTGTAAGAAAACTGAGAACGGCACATCTGAAACAGTAAAGGGGTAAATAAGTAAAATAATAACAACCAACAAGTTCTTCCAGGTTGAAATAATGAAACAGAACAAAGTCAAAGATCAACAATTGTACGACTAAAGAATTACCTGTAATCAAAGAAGTTCCTCCATGCAAGAGAAGAAACTTCGGAATCCTGAATGAAGGAAGGATAACAATTGAAAAGAACATATTCAGACACAAAATTTTATGCACACCAAAAGCGATAACAAATAAAGTAGAATCTGCTTAATTTTGTGACCTTAATTCTTCTGGAGCAATTGTCTTCCTGAAATCTAACTTCTAATAACTCCTTTCCTTTGTCTGGAATTTTCTGAAGATCGCTAATTCTTCTTTCAAGAGCACACTGCATCGTTTTCTGTACCTGTCCATTACAACAGTTCAAAGATAAAACTTCTTGAGGTATACTTCCAAGGGACTCCGGAAAAAGATTATATACTAAGATATTGTACACTGATTTTTTACCTTGACATTAAATATACAATACACCCAAGAAAATAAATAACAAAAAGAGAGACCTGAAGAACTACCAAGCAGCTAAATAGGCAAAAAGAAACAATAAAATGTTTGATAAAATTTTCATATTATGTCTTAATGACAATGCTTTGACACGTCACACGATGGTATTAGTTTGATCATAAATTCAGAATGATGCCAAAAAAACAGAATATCAACGTATAATTAGAATAGGAAAATGAAGATCTAACATGGGATGGGGCCAACAACAATTTTTTTTTTAAATAAAGATTGACTCGAAACAATAACTGACTATTTTATTATATGAAAGTAAGCAACTGCAACTCAATGCAACAAGAAAACTGTTAAATAATAGCTCAAGAAATCTAAATCCAGTTGAAATGAGAACCAATGTTCTGATCCCGATACCAGTACCACAATATATTTTTTTATAACCACCATCGGGAGCTCCACTCTTGGATTATGCTCATGGCTCGGCCTACTAACCCCTAATGAGGCTTTGCCACCCAAGGCCAACTTTGGGAGACAACAAAAATTCAAGTTACTAAGCTTTTGATCTAAGGCTTAAACCTAGGACCTTTGGTTAAATTTATTATCTGCGGCCAGCCTTGAGGGTGATCATGATACCATAAAATTAGAATTTCAAACAAAACAACTCTCATGCGATCATCAAATATATGCAGGCAGATTCTTGCAAAACAAACAGCGAGAATGTAGAAAGGTCAGAAATCTCAAACTTCTCGGAAGACCAAATACAAAAAGAGCTTTGATTAAGAGACCAACAAACCCATTTTCCGGAGTGAAATGTCATTTATTAAAACGTCATATCGCAGGCCACCCAACTAAATGACATAACATTGTCAGACATAAACACGAGCTAATGGCAAGAAACCAATGAATAAGTGAATAAGATGCATTGAGGGAGAAAACCCAGATATAAAACAACCTCTCCTTGAAACGGATTTTCTCGATCAAGACAACAAAAAGCTGTGGCATCCGAAACTCGTTAAATTAAATTCTATTACCAGTCAAAAGAAAGTCGTTCAACAAAGACAGCCAAATCTCCCAACTACTTGCGAAGGGGAAAGAAGTATAGATTGCACAGAATATTATGAACACAGGACGAAGAAGAAAACACGCATAGGTATTACTCCCTTGAAATTTAATCAGGCAATTAGAACCATTGAGAAAGCGTAGTACTAAATTTGACTAGACCCGGAAACATCAGAGGAAAAATATCTCAATTTAAGAACTATACCAATTTAGACACAATCCGCGCCCAAATATAGCGACGAGGTTCAGATTACAGGGAAACGCAGAAATCTACAACAGTCAATAGTTGCCAAAAATGGAAATATTTCTGCCCCGCAATCTCTTAATTAATACGCAACTCAAAATAGACAAACAAAATAGATAAAGTACATAGATGATAAATTAACTCCCCACTTTCACAAGATAATATATAATAACTTCCCTAAAATAGGAGGAAATAGCGAGCGGAGATTGAATTGCCAACATAACAAAACAAAAAAAATAAAATAAAATAAAAGCGAGAGCGATTAACTAAGACCGCCAGAAGATAACTGACCCATTTAAATTATCGAGGGAGTAGCGGAGGAAGTACAGCGATTGAGAGCGGTTTCTTTTCCAGTGGCCAATAGCTTCAATCTTCTACTGCTCTATCGGAATCTGTTCGAGCTTTGCTGTCGATAGTCGATAAATTCGAAGTTCTTGTTTATCTTCAATCCACAGGTTTTAGTTCAGACTCGATTGAGTTAATTTGGTTCGATGATTGAGTTTCTCGATTTCCTGCAGTCCCACTCTATAAAGTAAATGGAAGAGCGAGACAGCGTGTGAGATGGAGAGAGAAGAACAATTCCCTATTTTTCTCTTTCGAGTTCAAATGGGCTGGGATTTCAACCTCCAACGAATNTTTTTTTTTACAGACAACCTTCAACGAGTTGGTAAGGACAACTTAACTAGTTGAATTGTTGTTAATTGGGATAAAATAATAATTTTAACGCACCAGTCCACTGATTATTTTAATTTCTATCAACATTTCCATTATTACTTTTCTATGAACATCACAAGTTGATTTGTAACAAAACTTTTTGTTGCTGGTACTTTTTCCTGGATTCCTTCCTTTATAGATGTGACATCAACGAGATAAGATAAATGGATATTTGTAAAAATTAAATAAATTAGTACTGACATGATTTTAATTTTATAATACCACTGATAAAAAAGTTTTATCTAATGTTAAAACTTAAAAGTGTGAAATTTTCATTGAATTTATTGATTTAAGTACATTTTTAAAAGATATATAGATATTAAAATGTAGACATTTGACATTTACGTGGATATTAACATTTAAAATTAAAATCCTTTTTATATATAATTAGATAATGTTGATCGAACTATTATTTGATTATGTTATTTAAATTATGATATATATTATATTGTATTATTTGAATTGTGATTTAGAATCATAATAATATAAATAAGTTATCTATAAAAAATAGCCGATGACATTTATTTATAGATAAATTATGACATTTATTCATAGAGGTTAATTATAGGATGAATAAAAGAAGTATGTTTTTTCCAAGTGGATTTTTTCTCCCCTACGTACCAACACATTGTCATTTCATCATGTTTCACATGAATTGTGAGGAAGGAAGTAAGTATCGTTAATATATTTTTTTTTTCCAATACATAAAAGGATCAAACATGAATTCTAGGTATCAACACTAATGCCTCTGCCACACTACAACAACACCCTAGGTGCGAAAATAAGTATTAATTAATTAAAATTCGTATGTATTTATCATAATCTAAACGTTAAAATTTTTATGCAATTTAAAAGTTTATTTTTATAAAATTATTATATATTCAATTGTTATATTTTTAATTCACAAATAAACGTGTTATATATATATATATATATATATATATATATAAAAAAGTTACATTTGGGTTTATGTCAAAACTAAGAAAGCACCTTTAGATAAAATATATAAGTATTTAAAATTATAATAATTATAATAAATATATAAGTACTTTAACTAAAAATGAAATCTACAAATATTTACTAAAATATTACAAAAATTTCAACCATTAAAGTTCACTACAAATTTTCATTAATCAAAAGAATCCCAAAAAACACGAAAGGTTCATATTGATATACAACTAAACTTTTTTTTTTTTAATTACCGTCAAGCCTATGCTCATGTTGCCTATGCAGACCATGTCCATCTAAAAACAC